AATTCTACTAGAATTAAACATAGGCAAAGGACTAATGATGCTGGTCTTGGCTATCTGTCTTAGCAATCATTTTCTTCATGTGTTTTTCAGAAATACGGTTTGTAAGCTCATCCTACAAGAAGGGATTCTGTGCCCCTCCAGCATTACCCTTTCTTCCCTAACCTTTCCTAAACATAAATTTGGGACTGTCTGTATCCATCCCTCCAAATCCAACTCCAGAACTAGGTCCAGTATCAGCAGCTCAGGGATTCTCAGCCTTTGGTCACATAAGAGAAACTTTAGATTCAGTCATCAAGCCTGCAAGTGCTTGGTCCAGGCCTTAGTTACAGGACGAAGCACTTCCTTTATATGTACACAGCTTTAAAAAAGCCAGTCAAGCTTTTCATCAACCTTCTTTCATAGGCAGGAACCCCAGCCTTGTTTAAAGCACAGAGCTCAGCTCTGCTCTTTGCCTTTCCTGGGGTATACTTCTAATTGCTGTTAACCTGCACAAGCTGAATCCACAGCTACCTACAGCTACCCAGGCCTACAAGTTTCCACCCATTTATACTTTATCTTTCTGTTCATGGCCATTTACTTAACATGGTATCAGTTCAAGGGGCCAACTCCCTACATGGTGCTAAACTGAAAGCACTACATGGGTTTCCATATTCTGGCGTGCTTTCTACTTCTGTTCCTCACCATTGTTATGATTTGTATGTCCCTCTTCATTTATGGTACCTAGGAATTTCTCAGTATCCTCTCATCTTGTTTTAAATATCATCTATTAGCAAAATAACTTTTCAAAGATTTTAACTGATAGTTCTGTGCATTTGGAGTGGGGCAGGAAGATGAGAAAATCAAGAAAGAAGAGTCCCTCTTCATCAATTCAGTTTAACATATTGAAAGGAAATCAAATTATTCTCCTATTTATATTTTAAGCTCAAACATCACCTGTCAGGAAGCATCCCCTATGCTCTTGGATCCTCTCTTCTGTGATCCTCTACTTAACTGTAGTAATTTTAAAGTAAGACAAATTTAGACAAAACATTTTGAACAAAATTCACACTAAAACCAATATAAAATATATCCTTCCATTGCCTAAAATTTATACTCACCATTTCATTGGGATGGACCAAAAACAAATAGATCCCTGGATGTTTGTCAAAAACCTGAAAGGAGCAATTGGCCTGTTCCATCCGACAAAGTGCTTCAACACATAATTCATCTAAACAGAAAAAATATGGCAGTAAATAAAAAACGTAAATCTTATCAACCTATCAAAATTCCCTAAATCTAGCTCTTTCAGTTGCCCTGTAAAGAAATGAAAATTTAGGGCGGCGCCTATGGCTCAAAGGAGTAAGGCGCCAACCCCATATGCCAGAGGTGGCGGG